ACACACACACACATAAGACACACACACACATAAGACACACACACACACATAAGACACACACGCACACATAAGACACACACACACATAAGACACACACACACACACATGTAGATTGGCAGTTCACACCTAAACAACATTAACAGTAAGAGTCTTTTGTTCCTCTAATTCACAGTTGAGGCCCCTCTGTTCCCATCAGGTGTGAAAACCGGCTGGGAATCTGTTTTAAAGTTGCATTATATGTTTTTGAAAGAGGAAATCTGAGGCCTCCTCCTCTGTTAAGAGACGGCTTTTCTCTTTTTACATAAATCGCTTCCTTCACCCCCCTGAGTTCTTCAGTTCTCACACGTTTTTAAAAGTTTCCATTTAAAACGTCTCTGTGAAGAAACAAAGAGCAGGAATCTTGTTTTAATGTCCAGCAGTCCTTGTAAGAGCGGCAGGGGACATTTGGACAGGTCTCCAGTCCCTCACAGGGACACGTGTGGACAAACGCCTCTCGCTCTCACATGTTGTTTTTCACTCAACCTTTATTTATGCAGCTTTGTAAACAGGTGTCGGTCCGTGGGAGGAAACTGGAGAAAACCCACGGGGGACTCGGGGTTCATTGTTCACATGCCAAAGTGTCTTGCCCAAGGGCACTTTGGCATGTGGTGGAGGAAGCCAGTATCAAACCACCAACCCTCTGATTTACCTCCTGAGCCAGTTAAAGAGAGTTTGGAGTCCACTGTCCAACTACAGCTGGGTGGTGATGATGGGCGTCATCTGCATACAGACTGACCTGGATGTCATGTTTTATGAGATGATTGCACCATGTCCAAGTCCAGAACCCTGTGGAACACCTCAGCTGACAGGACACTTTATTCAAATGTACAGTTTGAAGCTTTGAATCCGTTCAGAACTTAATTCTTACAAATGGGCTGTTTGTGAAAACTTTTCAGTTTTTAGCCCGACACACGGAGTGCGCTGTGCTTGTCTAACGGCACCGTGACTCACACCGAGATGTTTTGCATTCATCCATCTCACATCCACTTGGTGAGGTCCTTCAAACGTCATGAGCTGCAGACATGTCGGGAACAACGAGGCGCCACCAAACACACAGCTCCTAAAATCCCAGGGAGACGTTTTCAGACCTAACTCACGTCAGACATCTGTACAGATGTGCGTCAATCCCCCTTTCTGCTGCATTCGTTTCCTGTTTTTATCAATTCGTCACACTACAGAAGCAACGTGGGTGGTTTCATGAACCTGAGCAGGATCAGAGGTAACACGGCAGCTTCGCTGGACTCTTGCCACCCAGCAGGAAGTCCCTCAGTATTTAAGTTTTCCTCCAGTTCTGTCGTGTTCAGACTGAACTGCACTCGACTCTGGAAACAGGAAACACGTCAAACACCTCGAACCACACCAGGGTAGCTCCTCCCACCTGCAACGTAAAGCGGGTGCTGAGGACAGTCCGTTGTCTCTGATGGACTTTGACGTGCGACACCTGTGGCCAAAAACCTGGAGCCAAATGGAGCCTAAGAGCCCTGACAGCTGCCAGATTTCTACTCTTTATTTTAAAAAGAGAACAAAAAGTGCAAACTTGTTTTATTTAGCCAAGTTCTTCAACTGTATCGCCGCCTTCATGTATGTAAACCTGTAACCTGCCTTTGTACTGTTCAAATGCTTTTTCATAAACGTGTGCAATCATTCACCTGCTGTTTGGTTCATGTTGTTTGAAGCTCGACCACTAATCTGAAAACATGTTTGGTTGATTACTTTGTTGGATTATAATCTGTAGTTTAACACCAGCTCTAATCTGTGATCAGTTTGAGTTCCAACAGTTTGGATCCTCGCTAACAGAAAGGATCGGTTCCCTAAAGGATCTCAGGTCCCCTGCAGGAGGAAAAGGTTCAATAAATCTAATGTGGTCCAAAACAGATCCAGATTCAATTCAACAGATTCTGTTCATTCTACTTCTAATACAATCAGTGACAATTATTTAAGCTGATTGGTTGAACAGCCATTCCTGAGAAAATGCCTGAGGAGTGGAGAAGAAGTGTGCTGGTGGCCATTTTTAAGAACAAGGTGATGTACAGAGTTGTAGCAACTACAGGGGAATTAAGTTGATGAGTCACATGATGAAGATCTGGGAGAGAGTTGTGGAAGCAAGACTTAGACGAGCAGTGACTATCTGTGAGCAGCAGGATGGGTTCATGCTGAGAAAGAGCTCCACAGATCCATGTTTGCTTGGAGGATGCTGATGGAGAAGAACAGAGAGGGTCAGAAAGAACTCCATTGTGTCTTTGTGGATTTAGAAAAAGCATAGGACAGCAGGACATGTATGAGGACAGCAGGACAGTGGTGAGATGTGCTGCAGGAGTGACAGATGGCGAGAACAGGGAACAGGTGGAAGAGAACTTGGAGAGGTGGAGGTATGCACCTGAAAGAAGAGGAATGAAAGTCAGCCGTAGTAAGACAGAGTCCATGTGTGAATGAGAGGGAGGAGGTGGAACAGTGAGGCTACAAGGAGCAGAGGTCTCAAAGGTGCAGGACTTCAAGGACTTGGGGTCCACTGTCCAGGAACATGGGGAGTGTGGTGAAGAGGAGAAGAAGAGAGTCCAGGCAGGATGGAGTGATGGAGAAAAGATTCAGGAGTGATTTGAGACAAAAAGGGTGTCAGCAAAGGTCAAAGGAAAAGTTTACAAGACAGTGGTGAGACCAGCTATGTTGTATGGTCTGGAGACAGAGACATGGACAAAAAGACAGAGACATGGACAAAAAGACAGGAGACAGAATTGGAAGTGTCAGAAATGAAGATGTTGAGGTTCTTCTTAGGAGACAAGGATGGAGAAGATCAGGACTGAGATCATCAGAGGTGCAGCACAGGTTGAACAACTGGGAGATAAAGTTAGAGAGGACACACTGAGATGGTTTGGACATGTCCAGAGGAGGGACAGTGGTTTTGACATGTCCAGAGGTGTGGTGGCGCAGAGGTTAGAGAAGGTGAGCCTGTGATCAGAAAGTCACAGGTTCAACTCCCGGTACCGTCAACATCAAAATGTGGGTGGAAAAGGTGAAACACCCACACCTGCCTCCACCCTCATTGGCCCCACTCTGGGCCCCTGAGCAAGGCACTTAACCCTCACCATC